TTTTGGCCACATTTGCTTTCCAATGGATCCACAGACCCTCAGCAATCTGACATGCATGATGGAGTGATTTGGTTGCTACAATCTCTTCCATTTTCTTTCCTCTTGTTTCACCGAAGCATTCCTGTTCTCTCTAACTCATTGGGATAGCCCAAACTGTTCTTCCTCTGCATCAGTCTCTTTATCCATTGGTGCTGAATTTGATTATCTACTGTGTGCCATCCAACATGGCATGTGGGCCAGTGTTCCCTCCCTTTGCTACATGATTTGTTCACGCTATTCCACTGTATGTCTGCTGTAGGTGTGGGCCTCCTTCCTTCTGATCTTTGGGCAGGACCAGATTTGGTTAGGTGTATTGCAGTGCAATAGTACTCTTACATGTATAGCTGACATTGATTGTGTGCGCTGCATCATGGGTAGGCAGTGTCTTTTAGACGCACAATCTCACTACACCTGGGCCTGGCAGTGGTCTCAGGTTTGAGCCTATGCATGCACTCAAGGTTCTAGAGGAAACAGGAAGCATTATATCTGGTCCTTGTGCATTACTCATCCTGAATCCCTTCACGTTCCACCCCAAAGACATGGACGTCCATTGCCCTCATAGTCAACTTGATGCAGTTGCAACCACTTTCAAGAAGAGGTATCTGAAGCTGCAAACCCACGAACCATGCCCCAATTATGAGAACATCCCCTACATGTTCACAATGGTGTCTCTGAGAGATCACAAACAGTCCATCAACATTGTCACATCACACACTGAGAACAACCTCCTCCCCATCTTCAACTTCCATTCTTTGGCAATGATGAATTTCATATCTGCATGAGAAATATACTGTGGGTATCCGGACCTCACCATCAATTATCGGAACATCATAAACATTCTCATAGGCTGTAAACCCAAAGCCAACTGTGTCAAGTTCGCGGAGTGTATTGCAAAGTATGAACATCGAGGATACAATTACACAACAGATCCATTGGAGTGGCCAGGCTACGTTGATAACGTCTTCTGTCAACCAAAGATGGAGAGGGTGTTATGAAATAAAAAACACTTTAACTTCACATGGAGTGTTGGCACGACAAAGATGAACAGGAGGGAAGAGAGAGTCAAAGAGATGGAAGAAGTGTGGAAGAAAACTTCTTGGGTGCTTGCCAAGCATCGGGGGCTGGTACTAGACCTGGAAGGATAGTTAGAAGTTGGAAGGTACTGCTGTGTACAGTACAATATGTACAGTACAATACGGTGGTACAAGTAGCGGGCTTTGCAGCCAAAGGGTGCCCTACATCAATTATTATATTTACCATGAAATTATCATGTACTGTACCATTTCAATCAAATTGACAGGTCACGCGTCACACCCCCCTCTGTCGTGTCGAAATTTCGCCTACTCAACCAGCTGTGACATGATTGGGACCACCAAAACGGGTGTTTTCCAGGGTCGAAATGTCAAAAAATTTCCCGTGTCACAAGGACATGGGGGTATTGTCAATTATAAAATATTCAACACCCTGGTCACGCGTCACACCCGGTGTCGAATTGATTGAAATGGTACAGTACCTCATAAATAGTCACAGAATATCAGTTCAAATTGTCATTGAAATCATCTCAACCTGCTGCTCTGAAAACAACATGAAACCCCAAATTGTGAAGAGTTAAGTAAGGCGTGTGCGACAAGGTGCGAAGGTGTGCCCACGGCACGGACCGACTCGGCCGATGGCTTGGGAAAGTCAAATTGAACCGTGTAGCTCTCGCCAACCGTACGTAGATCGACAGAAAGTACAAGTTACAATTGGCGTGCAAATTTCTCCATCTCTCGTTCGATTTCGGCACCCGCTACAGCTCCACCAGTTTCCACCGAGTCCTTCCACGCTGTCGTGGCACTAGATGTCTCTGGCAAGCGGACATCAAATACCTCGACCTTTCGATCCGGACCGTCCTTTACATTTGACTCCGATTGGGATCTTTCGGGCGCCGCAGTGATGGATGCGAAGGAAATTCCAGTTAAGACCGTGCCGCTGATAGCACTTCGATTCCCTCTACTTTTGCGTATCTTGCGAACTGCATTAATGAATGACTAATCATACCATCAGGTGCCCCGCGCCACTGGAAATCTCAAATGTTACTCACAGGGTCTCCAGCAGCAAGAACTCCATACGCGAGGGTGCGGAGTCCGTACAAAACAACATCTATACAAAACATAGCGGGCGTTGGTTTTACCGCCATTTCATATTACGCAAGAGCATACCGAGGACAAGTAACCTGAAATCCTAAGAGATGGCGACCAGTAAGCAAGAGCTAGAACGAGTAGAAATGCTGGGCGAAATCAAACATACCATTTGAGTGTGTACGCCCACAACGCTCATGTTGAGGTCAAGAATCACCGTCGAGAAGTTCATAAAAAGTGACACCATGGGGTACAAAGCTCAAAAATGGCGCGGTAAGTATACGTGCGACAAATACCATTGAATAAAGTGACTCACCTATCCGGAGGATAACTGTCCGATACCTAGGGTCTTGTGTAAAAACCGAGGTACCACTGAACTGCGAAGGGCCGTTGCTAACATCCGTGCCAGCGGCCTTCAAGGACTTGATTTGTCGCTTTGGAGAAATGCCGTCAATAAAAAATGAAAACATGCGCGGGGTGCCTCTACTGATGAACCGAAATCACCTGAACACGATACAGCCAGAATAACACATACCCGGAGCAGACGGCCTCGATGGTAGCGGCAAGAGATATCCAGAATGATCGTGTCCCGATGACCCATCGGAGTCGAACCTCGTCGTTTGCATTGCTGTACCAGCAGGTGACGATCGACTCGTTCCAGCTAAGTTACAGTATCGCAGTTACTTAAACTTTCCGTTCGATTTAGGTCTGGAGGGGATTGCACTCACCCAAATTGGCCCAGAGCCATCGTCGGCACGTTTAAAACTATGCTGAGAATCGTGGTTCCGGCGAGATAATACTTCTCCAGTTTGTTGCCGTCGAAGCCGTAAGCCAAAACCAGTCTATACAAGGATGTAAGAGTTACAATAAGTTTAAATATTGTTCCACCACGTACAGAAGGTTAAGGGCTATACAGGTAGTAGAAAAAGTCGCAAAGCTTAGGGTGAACTTCAGCAGAAATTAACGCACGCTAAGGACTCAGATGCTAGGTGAACGTACATTGACTGCAAACGCCTTAACGTTGCACCCAACGCCATGGCTCGTCGGTGTTGCGGCGTAAGCTATCCCGAACAGTACGCTTCGGACCGTGCAGCCAGTGAGCGATACGTAAGGCCAAGAAGTCGATGTAGAGTTCTCACTTGAATACCATCGAGTAAACCAACAACCGGAAGCTCACTCGATCGAAACACTTTCTGGCGCTTGGGGCGAGGGCTGCTAAGCCGTATGCTATCAAGACCATCCCGCAGACGATGGTTCCTGGAATGGTGCAGGCAAATGTGAGGACACCACTGAAGATTGATATTTCTAGGTGTCAGCGGGTGGCTAAATTATGAAAAGTCAATATGCTCACCCCGCCTGGGTCTGTGTGTCCGTTATTGTGTACGGCTTGTTGTCGGACATGTTATGAAAAGCTGGGTGCAGACTCAGAGATTGGCGGTTGTGGGCAGTCAGGCGTGAGATAGACTCCACGCACACAGGTCGACTATATTCTTTAGCTCGGGGAGATTGTTGTACTTGAGCGAAGAGAACCAATTGAGTCCCAGGTCTAAAATTGTAGGAGAGGCGGGGCTCACTCCAGATATAGGCACACACGCAGGTCGACTATCTTCCTCAAATATTCCTCGGCTCAGGAAGATTGTTGTGTTTAAGCTAAGAGAATCAATTGAGTCCCATGTCCAAACTGTTATTTAAGAGAGATGTCGCCTACTCCAATGATAAAGTTTCGCAACGCAGATCCGAAGTGATCGAGTTGAACGCGACAGGTGGGCAGGTAGTGAAATGACAGTGTGGCACGCTGGACCTGTGGTGTTCCGGTCAAGACAGCCACTGCAATCCACCGTGGGATGACACTGTGGGCCTGGGCGGTACACATATTTTGTGCTGAGCGATAGGAAAAGCCTGAAACTGGTCGGTGACAGTGAGGATCATTTGAAGTTCACCGTGTCCTTCGATGTAGTACGTTGACATTTGACGGTGAGAGTTATATGCCTGGAACCTGCCCAGAACTGGAAAGTTCAAACGCTGATCATTGAACAACGATATGTACTCGTTCTGATGAATCAGAAGATATTGACGAACACTGTTTTAGACACCGAGTGACATTGGGTGCTTACTCGGATTGCCTGCTGAGCGACCCCGTCTCTCCTGGCAGGCGGCACGGAGGCGACAATATAAATACGGTATCGCCATCCTGGGTAGCGGCGATAGGTGTAAAGTAGGCGATAACCCTGGAGAAGTAATTTTAATGATGATTATCTCGTTAAAAAAAGATTGGGGGCTATACACCTCAGTGAGGTGCGTCCAGTGGAGTGGATGAGTTGGGGATGCTGCATTGGAAGCGTAGCCGTAGAACCACAGGTTGAGGGTTGACGCGTTGTCGTGTTTGGAGACGCGTCATAGGCTCCATATCATTTTGAACGATTATCTTCAAAATCGTGGGTTTCGAGACTAGGCATTGGCCCAACATTGGCCTGCTATCTTTCAGCAATTTTGGCGACATTTAAGCAGCACCCTAGGCCTGAGTTTATAGAGTTCTGAAGGTTCATTGTGACGAGGTTCCCCGAAGACTCCGTGACTAGTAACTCAGACTGGTGCTTGTGCCAAAAACCCAAAAGACTAGTCCCGTTCAACATGACAAATCCAGCATCACATATCCACGAACAGTGAACGCGTGCTCAGCTGCCCCACCACATAATTCAGGATTCGTGGCGCCATGCCAACAGTCTGTGAGGAATCCGATGGAATGAAGGAGAAAAGTTTCAGATCCTTCGACATTGGTCGACAATCATCTGCGCCCAGCTATTATTCACAGAAACAAAAATATGGTTCCGACATTAACACTGCATTAAGAGGGAATCGAACCCCCGGCGGGTCGATGAAGTCCTGACAGGGCGGTTCAACGATGGCAACGACCCAGGTTACCACTACCCCATTAATGCTTGGCAGACAAGGGATAGCGTTTGTCATCGAGGCGGCAGTGTCCCTGGATGGAGTTTACCACTGACCCCAGAAGTCTTATTTTCATTGCTAACAATCATATTTAACTTTGAAAGGGAGGAAGCATTGATTACAAACGATGTATTGCTACAGTATTCATAATATTCTCTATATTTGTAGACCCAAATTCCTGATAAATTAAATCAAAGCTGCATATGCAAGCCGAAGGTGACAGTGAGCGTCTAAGTGGATGCAGTGGAAGTAAGGTTGGGAAGGGACGAGATAAAAGTACAGAATCGGAGAGAGATGACAACAGACGAGAAAGGGAGGAACAAGGTAAGCACAAGTACAAATTAGATACACAAGAGGAAGAGAGAAAGAAAGACAGGGAACCGCGCCGTTCAAAATCGACCGTTCAGACATGCTCCCCAGGTCAGACACTACGGGTTTCGTGTGTTCCTGGGCCATTCATCATCGGCCACGCTACGGGTTTCGCGTGGCCTAGAAGGAACGAGCACGTCGGCGGGATGGGGCACCCTCAGCGTCGCCGTTGTCCTCAGTGTCGCGGAGGCGCTTGCGTGGGACGGAAGGCAGGGCGGTGGAGGTGCTGGCACTGGCGTTAGCAGGGGAGAGTGTGGTTTCAACGGGGGTGGCGGGGCGAAAAGCAGAGGAGCTGGAGGAAGAACCGGAAGACATGGCATCGTCGCCGTCACTATAACAATGGCTCGAGAGCGCCTCCTCCTGAGTCTTGGGTGGGACGTATGTTCCAAACCCCTTCGTCCAGTAGACTTCGGGATGGCTACGCCCACAGAACGCATACTCACGTTGCAGGCCCTGAGGAAGCGGGCGGGGCAGTTGGGGATAGTGATTGAAGGGAGGGATGATCTGGCCGTTCTTATCGAGGGCGGGGCCACGGGGCGGTAGGGTGCCAGAGGGGCCGGTGGTGTAATGGAAACGGATACCGTTGCGCTCGATGATGGAGTGCGTATTGGGAACGGTGATGAAAGAGATAGGTTCGGGTCTGGATACGCGCCGGGCACTGGGAGTGGGCTTGGATTCGACGCGGGCACGAACGTTACGGGCGTCGATGCTGCCGTCGACTTCGACTTCGCGAGCGCGCTTCTTGGAGGCCGATTTGGTTTGAACGCCGATACTGGAGGGTCCGCTGATGGAAGCGTCTTGTGCCGTGGCCCAGATCATGTCGTCGGAGGCCACTTCGAGCTTCACGGCCACCTCTTCGAGTTTAACAATGACTGGAGCGGGCGAAGCAAGGTCTGCGGGGTGAGTCCAGGTGATGTCGACATCTTGACCGGTGGTGGAAGTAGGGAGGACGGTAGTAGTGCAAAGAGCATTGGCGGGTACAGCAGCTGTGGTTTTGGCAGTGTTCGAGGTTTGAATCTCAGTGATATCGTCGTCGTCGTCATCAAGAACGATGGGGTTATCAAGAGAGCTAAATAAAAAAGATGGCGCGTGAGTGAGAACAACAAATGAAACAGGTGCAGACCTTCCGGGGCTAGTATCGTGATCCAAAATAAGGGGGTTCTCAAAAGAGCTAGACGAAAGGCGCTTGAGTGAAAGAAAATAATGACAGGAAACATAAGTGCAGACCTTCCGGGGCTACCAAGAAGTGGCGCATCAACAGGCATCTCCTCCGCGGTGTCGTTATAGTCTTCAAAAGTGCCTTCTTCTTCAACATCGTCGTTGAGTGTTTTCACAAAGCTATCATAGTAGGTTGAGCGATGCTAGAGATGAAAATCATTGAGGAGACATACCTTTCGGTGGTTGGAACGACCTCGGTCGTCCTGATTCAAGATGAGAGTCAGCATAAAGGGTAAATAGCTGCCTAATAGCGATCGCTCACCTGCTAACGAGAACAGCGAGAGCATAAGCCACTGTAGTTCTACGCTCTTCCTGGGGAACTCCGGCCTCCTTCATGTGCGAGAAGGTTGTGGCCATGAAGGCCTTCATCTTGTCATTGTATTTCTTTATGACTTCAATGGGCTTGAAGAGCTGTCAATGATCGTTTTTCCAGGATGGGGAAACACATACCTGGACTTTGATAGGTTGGCGCGGTTTGGCCTTTACTTGAGGCTTCGGCGATGTCAATTTCGGCGAGAAGTTCGAAAAACGCATCCTGGAGATTTCAAAGGTGGTAGGCTGTATATGCAGGTGAGGCTGGTTGAATTGGTATAGAGCGCCTTGAAAAAATGGGCTTATATACCTGAGGTTTTGGGGTCACAGAGTTTCGCTTTGGCCATTTGACAAGCATTTGACCATTCGGCAACAATAAAATGACTGGGTCGGCCAAAGCGGATTGCATGCTATATCCATTTGAGCACCAGAGTTAGAGGATGGTTTGACCTAACTTCAGCTTCGTCCATTATCAAGCACGCTACACATGCATCCGGAGAAACGTCTACCCGTCCGCCCGTCACGTTCTGGTACTAGGCAAATTGGCGACAAGAAATTGTTCATTACTCGGGAAGAACTTTTTACCTGATCCAGTTCGTTTTGCAGAAATATGGCCGCTTCAAGAATCTCTGACCGGCAGGCCAAGTCTCCCATGATATATATGGCCCGCATGCGTTATCAGTCGAAATTCCATCATGATTTCCATGGAGGCGCGACCAGCAATCAAGTAAATGAGGGAGTGACATTGAATGAAAGAAAAGAGAGTTGTAGTGAATACACTGTAAAGTCAAGATCCAAGTTGAAGTCAGAAGCAAGGGGTTCCACTTGGTCGGAAGAGAGAAAAGGCGCCGGGTGGCATTGACAAGTTAAAACGAAAGTGTAAAATCTCCGGGCCGATTCAGACCGCTAACAACTCTTTCTCCTCCCACCAATACCTCTTCCACCCAACTTCCACCACCCACACTCACAATAATGTCGGAACAGCTATCGATTCGCGTCAACTCTGCACGCCTTCCCGAATTTGTGGGCCAGACTGTTCGGCTCGCGGGGCGCGTCCTCCAGGTCCGATTCGCTCCTCTACGCGTCTGATCGCCATTTGTTGATGAATCTGTAGAGGAGCGCAGACACGATGACGGTCGAGGCCTCAGATGGTGGTGAGGTTGCTGTACAGATGTTTCAGGTGCGCTTTATTCTTTCCCTTGTTCTTCCCGTGTTGAAGTTGGGAGCTGATGGCGTTATGCCGAAGATGGACGCGTCGTCGACGGACCCGTACGTAGAGGTGATTGGTAAGGCGGTGGACGCGACAACGGTTAAGATGATGTCTGTGGTGAACTTGGGATCTGACTTTGGTGCGTCTCCTACGTTTTTCTATCCTTTCTTCCACTATTGACATACGTCGCACAGACCTGAAACTCGCGAATGACACGATCGAGTTCATGCACGACAAGAAGTTGTTCTCGCGAATGTTCAGTTAAATCGAAGGTTTCGCTATGCATAGGCTATGCCGTTGCCACATGCTTCAGGACTCTACGCTGCGCTATTATGATGCCTGTGTACTATCATTCATGCCCAGATCACTCCGCAGCCTGTGCTTCGTGTCGTTTGTCTTAGTATAATCACTTGTACGGAATATCGAGTTGGATTGACTCAAGATCTGCTAAGCATTGACTTCTCTACGACCTTCCAGCCTCAAGCTCCATTGATTGCAAGGACTAATTCCGATGCACAGCATGATCTGCGCCCAACAAGTTTTTATAAGCATCTGCCACATGACGGCGCCTTTCAATGTCAACTGCCAAATAAATATGTATTGCCTCACACGACACAAGTCAGTCACGGTTCCGACGTTCACTTCACAGCCCACAGTGGGAGTTGCCAACATATATATCGCTCAAGAGGCATTTGCTCTAATGCCTAAATCTCTTACATCCATCCCACATGCCTGTTACCTTCCCTATCGCCAATCGTCCTGCCGACCCTTACGACAACACTCCACTGCGGCGGTGGGCCCCTGCGCCGTCTTTAGATCTACTCTTCGAGATGCCTAATAAGGTGCTCGCTGGCCTTCCGACCACACACATACCAGCGAAACTACTGCAGAGTTCTGTTGACGGCACAGAGGAGATTATCACCACAAAGAACGGCTTTGTCCACGGTATCATGACGGCGTATAGCAAGCATCATAACCTTGTCATCCGGTAAGTCATTCTACGTGTCATCTCTGACTATTGGATACATCTAAAGGCGACTTTTAGGCCAGACGATGTCTGGATCGCCATCCTGTCACAGCTCAACTTTTAGTACGTCTCGTGGTTTGTCATTCCTGAATCGTATGCTGACTGATTGATCTACATAGTGTTAATGCCCATGCAGAGGAACTGCGTGACAAGTTCGTCGATCACAAAGGAAAGAAAACGCTTATCGTCACAACAATGGTGGACAGCCTAGAACAGATGGACTTTGGTGATTTGGCAGTCCAGATGACAGGGCTCATCGACCAGAATGTAAGGTATACTGAAATGTAACTCTTCCTTGACTAATCTTCCCTCTACCAAGGTAAAAGACAAATCTCTTGTTCCTTGGGTACTCCCCAATTTCTCAACGACTACGGCGGATGATACTGTGATCTGTTCCGCCCTCATTATGTCGACGTTGAAACAGTAAGTCAATCAATCAAAATATCAGCATTTCAAGGCCGACCTTGTATCAGATACTTCCATTATATGATGAGCCTCGGCTGCGGTATCCCATTCATCACGCTCGAAGGCACTCAAGCGGACTGGCGCTCCATCCTCGACCGTATCGACAAAATCCCCGAGTTCGGCGCCGAGCCCGCCGAGTGGGCAACAATGTTACGTGCCATTCTCAAGCGCTTCGTGCGTGCGTTCGATGACAAAGGTCCAAAGTCTGACATAGAATTCTGGGAGCGGATGGTGCACGAGACGCCCGGCGGGTCGTTCACCCCATTCGTGAGCGGCTGGATCAGTGCGTTTTGTGCATGGGACAACAAGGGTAAATACTTTGGTGCGAGGAAGTATCAGGACGGGATGACTATCGGGGAACCGCCGTCATGGGTGAAGGGCCTCAAGTT